TAGCCCAGGCTGGTCTTGAACTTGCAGCAATCCTCCTGCCTCAACCTCCCAAATGCTGAAATTACAGGCATGTGCCACCACACTGGCCTAGCTTTTTCTAGTACTCGACCAATCTTCTAACCCTAAAACCAGCCCTACTTACTATGATACATTTATATTTTGAAAGCACTGGTGTAACCCCTTTGCTCATACTCCCTTTCTGAAATCTGTGTTTTCACTAAGACTGGCTTAGGGTTTTCTATTTGTGTTCTTAGTAGTTTTGGTATGAGGGCTATACTAGCTTGAAGTGAACTGGGAAGCTTTTTAAGTTTTGCTTTGGAAGAGTATATTTGTTGAAGCTTTGATAAAATATACTCCTAAACAAGTGTTAATGCCTTTAAGGGAAAATTTCTAGGTTTCCCCCCCCCTCATTGTTTTTCATCTGTATAGCACTACTAGATTCAATTTCAGTAAATTTATATTTTCCTTAAGAGCATTCATTTCAAGTAGATCTTAAATTTTGCTGATAAATTATGTGGTTTTGCTTTTAATTTTAAAATCTTGTTTGTACCTTCTTTTTTTTGCCTTTATACCTACTAACGTGTGTTGATCAGCTTTCCCCATCACTGGAACAAAATATCTGACCCCCACACTTAAAGGAGGAGAGGTTTAATTCGGCTCATAGTTTAGAGTGTGCAGTCCACGGTTGGCTGGTTCCAAGGCAGGAAGGGCATGGTTTTGGGCAAGATGGAGGAGAGCTGCTCACCCCTGGGTGTCCAGGAAGCAGAGAGGAGGGTGGACCTGGGAAGGGAGACACCCTCCCAAGGCCACCCTTTCAATGACACCCCTGTCTCTTCCAATCAGGGCTCACCTCAAAGCACATGAGACTTGGGGAGGGCATTTAGATTGTATGACTTTTTTATTTTGTTTTTCTTTTTGAGACAGGGTCTCGCTATGTAGTTCAGGGGGCTCTGAACTATGTAGCTATGTAGCCCAAGCTAGCCTCCAATGCAGAGCAATCCTCCTACCTCAGCCTCCCAAGTTCTGGGATTATAGTTGTGTGCCACTATGCTCAGGTTTTTTCTTGTTTTTAGTACCAAGAATCAAACTCAGGACCTTGAGCTTGTTAGGCTAGTGCTGTTTTGTTTTTTTCTTAATGCTAAAGTTTTGTCTTCATCTTTTCTTTTTTTTTCGTCTTTTTAAATAACAGGCTTATAGCAATCATTTCTACTAGGTTTTTGTTTCTACTTTAGCAACAATAGAAATGTATTATTTTGTCTGTATTTATAAAACTTCTTAAACTGAATGCTTAGTTCATTCACTTTTAACCTTCAAAAAATGTATTTGTAGCTATAAACTGCTGACTGTTGGTTGCATTCTGTGGATTGTGATATGCAATGTTTT